ACAATGCTTTGATACTGATCTTGTCCTGGAATACAACAAAGACTTCACTTTTGAAGAACTAGCGTGGGCTCTGAGTAGGGTAAGTGGTTCATCCGCTGGACCAGACGACGTAGGCTATCCTCTTCTCAAAAATCTTCCCTAATCGGTAAAACTATCCTTTTGTCTATGTTCAACCAAATATGGGACCAGGGAGAAATTCCCACTGACTGGAGAGAAGGTCTAGTTGTTCCCATCCCTAAACCCGGAAAAGACAGGAATAATGCAGACAGCTACCGGCCTATCACTCTGTTGAACTGTATTGGGAAGGTTTTTGAGAAGATGGTAAATAGACGACCCATTACTCAAATGGAGTCCCAAGGCTTACTCGACAATCGCCAGTTTGCTTTCCGTCCAGAAAAGTCCGCGGATAATTACCTTACGGAGCTAGAGGATCTCATTGATGGATACCTTGATAGAGGTATGCATGGTGATTGTGTTTCTCTGGATCTGTCGAAGGCTTACGATCGTGCATGGCGTTTTCCCATCCTAAAGTCACTCGAAGAATGGGGCATCAAGGGCCGCATGGGTCACTACGTTTAAAGTTTTCTTGACGATAGGAGATTCAGAGTCATCATAGGAAACAACCGATCTGAGGTCAGGTCTCAAGAGAACGGTATCCTCCTAGGTGCAGTAATCGCACCCACACTCTTTCTCATCTTTTTTTTTTGTATATTAATTTATTTGATAAGGCTCAACCGAATTAACTTAACAGAGCCGAGGATTCATGGTCACTATACAATACATCTTAAAGCTATAGTCAAAAGGTACAACACAATAAACACTTTATCTTCCGCTATCCAAAAAGCCTCCTCCATCAGAACTGGAGCCGCTTCCAGTAGTTTCATTGTATGGCAAATTGTTGTACGCCAACGAGGGTCAGAGCGCGTCCATTGCAGCAATGGACGCAAAACGTGGTCAGCACTCACACACTCATCACGAAACGGTTGCTTTCCAAAGTCGACGACGCATCGACCGAAAGAACTGCTGATGAAGAACAATGAGGAGGACCACACAATGGTTGCTGCCGAGTAAACAGACGATCGCGTAGCACACATCGAGAGTGGCCTGCTTTTGTCGACAGCCGAGTGAACACTGAAACTCTTTCTCATCTGTATGCAATCCCTTTTTGATACTATTCCCCCAATGTACATATACTGGTTTATGCAGACGACATTACCATCATCACTTTCAATATTTTCAAATCGTTAGCCAGAAAAAGGATTCAATCCGCAGTCAATATTGTTGCCAAATGGGCTCATGAAAGAGGTTTCATCATATCCCCTGAAAAATCCCAACTCCTCCATATTAGTAGCAATAGGAAAAAGCTTAGCAAACTACCCCAACTAACCTTAAACCAGACCACAATAGAAGCAGGACAGACTCTGAAAATCCTTGGAGTTTACCTTGATCGGACTCTCAGCTTTAGACATCACGCAGACGTTGTTCGGAAAATCACCGAGTGGCGGCGACAGGTCATTAGGACGATTGGGACAAGAATTTCATGTGCACATAGAACGTCCATCATGCAAATAGTTAACGGCTGGCTTCTGCCCAAAATCTTCTACGGTGCAGGTTTTTTCAGTAACCAAAAAGCTACGTCCGTTGTACAACAAGGCTTTCCGATCAGCTTCCGAAGTTTTCATCACTAGTCCCATATCCGCTATAATGGCCGAGTGTGGTCAGCTCTCCTTCGAACATTATACAACAGTCTGCGTGGTGACTAAGGCTATTCGATGGTTAAGTCTGAAAGGTAGTCAAGAAGCCCCCTTAGTAACAAGAGCAGACGATCTGTTCAACTCCCTTACCAAACTAAATCTCCCTCCAGTTGCAGTGTTACCCAAAACCAAAAACAGACCTTGGAACCAACCACCTCCTAAGATAGATCTCTCTCTCTTCTCCGAAAAGTAAAAGCAGGTGATCCCCCGTTAAAAATATAGATCCCCCGTTCAGAAAAATACAATAATTTCTTCCACATCTACACCGACGGTTCCGTTTCTAATGGAAAGATCGGCTATGGTATCACTATCGCATTAACCAGTATTAGTTCCTCCCTCCCTACATCTTGTTCCATCTTCAGTGCCGAAGCTTATGTCCTCATGAAAGCTTCCAACTTGAACCCTCCACAGTCTGAGAAACCAACTGTCATCTTTAGCGATTCAGCAAGCTGTCTCCGCGAAATGGACTCCAGTTCCATGAAACATCCTTGGCTCATGTCAGCAGAAACATCCTCCATAGCTAATCACGTCTCTTTCTGTTGGGTCCCAGGTCACTCTGGTATCCGAGGCAGGTGGACCGATTGGCTGGTGCTGGTCGAGAAATGAATCCCGAAACAGTTGATGTTCCTTCTATGGACGTTGTCAGATGGGTAAAGGACCAAATCAGGGAAAGCTGGGATCTTGAATGGTTCAATAGCCGAGGTTTCGCCCTAAGAAGAATCAAACGGTCTACATCTCGTTGGCCAGATAATAAAAGCCACAAAGACCGCCGTATTCTTTCACGGCTTAGAATTGGTGCTACCCGTCTTACCCCTTAGCTACCCAATTACCAAAGAGGAACCTCCAAACTGCATCACATGTGGTGTCACACTGTCCATCCCCCACCTTTTTTAGATTGTAGAGCCTACAGTACCGAACGTTTGACTTATAATCTAGATAAATACAACCATAGAGGAAGTTTTATCACCACCCACTGAACAGAAGCTGCTGGAGTTCTTGAAAGCAACCGGATTGTATGACCAAATTTAATTGAAGCAAACAGGGACGAATGACCGTTTACGGTTAAAGTCCCGTTAAAACAAAGACACACACACACACACACTCTATTCCCAAAACACCCCTCAAATCGCGATTAAGGCCTTACTTTCGGAGTTAAAGGCGATTTAAGACTTCGAACCCCAAAATACTCCTCCAATAGCGATTTAGGCCTTTCTTTAGAAGATAAACGCGATTAACGATTTCGAATACCAAAACACCCCTCAACACGCGAAGTAGGCCTTAATTAGCGTTAGCGTTGTTACGGTGTACTTCGTAGAATGGATACTAGCGGCAGTCTTTTAAAATGAATATTTTGCAAAATTGCCAACATCTTTATTAATATAAAAGTTACAGCCAATTATATTTTGAAAAATGAACTAAGTCTGATTGATTTTAAACCAGTTTAAAAAATAACCCAGTATTATTTTCAAATTTAAATATTTTCTCTAATTTATAATATTTTCGCTGATTTTTTGTACAAAATATGACAAGTAAATTCCTTTCAAATGGTGGCTTGGAATGTTGTGTGTATTCGCCCCGTGCTGAGAAATTAACATTTGAAAAGAACGATTTTCATAGGGAAGTATCGTTACTATCACATGATCATTAAGAGATACCAATTCGCCTTATTCTATGCTATGGGTATCTTTTTGATGTTGGGGGTTTGAGAGTTAATGACAGTCCTCTAAATTACGTTCAAGCTACCGGTTATCAACTCTCCGAGTAGAGCCCTGCATAGATCACAGTCCGTCTAGGCCCCCGCTTCATCCAGTCAAAACCGACATCATTATTCACGACAACTGATTAAAATCTCCATCTCTCTTTCGGTTTCCCTCTATTCAGTCTCTGTCGAATATGTGGGCGCGACCACCGGCATATGCTTGTTAAATGGGGGTCGATGTGAACTTTTCGCTCTTTAGGATTGAGTTACCTTTATGGAATTTAGACTTCTTGTTAGTAGTTAATCCTGCATATTGCAATACTTCTTCAAATTCAAATGAAAAGATACTTGGAGAACCCTTGCAGCCCAAGGGGCGAGATGAAAAATACTACAATTATTGTAATTTATGAGCGATTTATCTCCCATTCTCTCCCTCTTGCTAGAAGAAGCTGACATAAAAACCGACGACCGAGCCTGCTCGGACTAATGTTGGTCCCTGACTGATGTTGACAAGATTAGGCCATCGAGACCCGAGGCCAGCCCAAACTCCGACAACGACCCAGCACACGGTCGTCGGTCGGTCGGTGTGGCATTGATTGTGGGGACAAATGATGGGGTAATAGTTGGCTTTATCACGTCACACGGCGAGCCAGGCTGATGAAAATGCACAACGAGCCTTATAAAAATGATAGTTTAGATTACAAATGATTTCAATTAGAGATATTACGGACAAGGACGACGATGGACGGTTGGATGTGGGGTCCCAAGCGTGGCCCTCGGGGTCAGTTTGGCCAGAGAACGATGGTTGGATCTCGGACCAAATGACTTCAGCCAAACAAGCAGACCACGCGTTCGCGTCAATGGGGAATAAATTATGAAAATTTATTACACTTTAAATGCAGAGGAAAAACGCGTCGACGTCCCGAGTTGGACGGTGTGACGTTTACGGTGACTGTGAGTTACGATAACGGTTTATTTATGCGCTGTTGAATTAGTGCGGACATTTATGCGCTCGGTGTAAATGTGGCGATTTGACTGCGTTATGTGCCAGGCGCGATTTACGGTCTTGAAGTGGATATTCGAAATTCAATTTTCTCAGCTCGTAAGCGAAATAAATTTCATTAATTGACAGTGCTAGTTACCACGTTTGGTCGAATGTTAGCTAGATTGTACTTCTGGACGAATCTAATCACACACTGATAGTGAACACTACTTGATGATCTAAAGGCACTCAATACAAATGATTGCATTTGCCGTGTGCTAACGGGAAACAGAAGTAAATATTTGCACAATCAATCGTGCTAATTTTCTACTTATTTCTATTTTGTTCGAGCATCAACAAGTGTTTCCTCACTGCAAGCTGGAAAGGCTCAATGAGCATGATGTCACTGTTCAGCATGAAGGGATCAAAAATGCAATCGAATCTGAGCACCATTTCCTCGGAACTCATCGACACACTTACCATCAGATAAGATAACTACCGGTGGTGCCACTTCAAGCGACTGTATAAAATAAATCTCCAGTCGATTACTGGCTCAGTAGCAATTCCATCATCCACTAAGTCACACAGGTTCCAACCTAAAACGAAAATGTTCAAATTCACCACCTCAGCAATCGTCCTCATCGCCCTGGTCAGTGTGGCCTTGGCTGACGTCGAAGAACCAGCAGGCATCGAATACACACTGAATGTCGTCCAAGACATCGACGCTTACAAAGCAGCCCATCCGGAGCTGGACGTCGTCCCATTGGAAGCCTCCCGAAATGCTCGTCAGCAGATTGTCTACACTCTTGGAAACCGAGTGTCTGGTTTGTAGCAGCTTGATCTGAAATGTTTGCATCAATTAAGAAAATTTGTTTTGAAAACATAGGTGATCGATTGGTAGCAACCAATCAGGATGGCCAATCGTGGTCCACTCTGCAGGATGTGTCGTTGGACTTGAGCTATCCCCAGTCCGGAGTGGGAGCCGTCGTTAGCTACGTGCAGGTGGTGGTGAATCAGAGTTCGAATCAGGGACGCGGCTATGTGGTTTCCGGAGGAATTGGGCAGCGCTATATTCGGCTGGTGATTGAAGCGTACAGCACTAGCTACTTCAACTTCAATGCTCAGATTTATGGACGTTAACTTGGGAATTGGTCATGATTTTGATTTATGATATGTGATACGGTATTTGGGAAAGTTGTGAAAATAAAGCAATTGACATTAGTTATCAAAGGCAAAGCTTTTTCATGAACCCTCCAGATCCTGTATAGATAAGGCTGAATTTGGTCAATTGTATAAGGAATATCCCAGTGAAAGTGAAGCTGCTTTGCACCTGCTGTTGTCTACATTACAATTTTATAGTTTTAAATCTTCTTATTATTTTCTTTTTTCAACAGTCATTTCTTTTGTATTTTTTTCTTTGTCAAATGTTAATCTAGTCAAGGTAGATTGAGAATATAAATGGCAAGTCACTAAATGAATGGAGATGACATTTCCTAAAACTGCGATTTAGTTCTTTTTAATGAAGAAAAACCCGTTTAATGTTTTTTTACCTCAATATGAGATGAACTAGTCAACTGGCTAAAAATCTAAATAATAAAAAACTATAATTAAAAATTGTTTTCCTCAAAACACCCGCGATTTGGACATTACTTAAGGAGATAAACGCGTTTAAAGATTTCAAACCCCAAATCTTTTCTAAAATCTTTTACCGCCTATTTACGGAGATAAGCGCGTTAACATATTTCGAACCCCAAAGGCATTCCTAAACTCAATTTAGGCAATAATTACCTTTGTTACGTACGTAACATAGGTATTCAAAATGAATTGAACGCGTCTTTCCGTGATGAATTTCTGACAGGCCACCCTCCAGTTTTATTCATAACCGCAAAATATGAGCCTGTGCAAAAAATGGTAAATATTGATGAAGGTTTAGCAAGTTAGAGCGATAAAAGTGTGATTTTTTCTATTCTTCCATAGTAATTCCCATACATATTTCATGGCACGACCCCTAAATCTGAATCAATATTTGCCAATTTTTACACAGCCTCATATTTTGCGGATATGAATCAAACTGGATGGTGGCCTATCAGAAATACGTCTCTTTTTTAACTGAAGCACCCTAATCTGCATTGATCGATTTATTTTGAAGTTCTCTTTTGATAACCACTACTATGCAAACAGATTTCACGTTATTTTTGCCACATAGTTTGAGGATGTAGCATCCAAAACGTCAAATACAAGTGTGATTAACAAAGATAATTGATCAGGAAGGACTTATTGAAATTTGTATCTTTAAATCTCGCTTAATTTAAGAATGGGTCCTACGTCCAAGGTAGTGTGGAGATAAACGGATTTAAAGATTTGTTAAACTCAAATTATGATTTAGGTCAAATTTACTGAGAAACAGTGCTTTCCTGATTTTGTCAGCATCCGATTTTGTCACTTCATTTAAACTGCTGCCGCATTTTCCTAATGTTCATAAAACTTTCCTGCAGTTTTTTTTTTAAGTTCGTTTATTTGTAAGGCTCAATCACCTGAGCTTTACGGAGCTTATAATTCATTGTTCTTTGTTTGTAACAAAATTCACTTAATTCTATGTCTAGTAGGAGTCAGGCCGAATACTCGTGGCTTACCCGAGGTTAGAGGGGTACATTGTCGAGCTTAGGGGTAGGGTTTCGTTGTCTCATCAGAGCGATGTCGCCAGTATGAACGGTATTGTGATTCTAGATTCGTCTGGAGTTCGACCGCCTATGGTGACCAGTGGGCGACGATGAGACTCATCGAGACGGGGGACAAGATAAACAAAAACTAATAAAGAGATACAAAAGACAAACGAATTAAATTCTTATACTAGAAACTTGCAGAAACACATAAATCGACTTTTTTTTTATTTAATTCTCTTTATTTTTAGCCTTAGGCTAGTTCATCTCTACACATAAATCGACTGTATATAGCAGAGATCGCGGGTTGCCAACACGTTCTGATAGGGATATAGGGTTGTCTTCCTTGTGCCTCAAGGGTATTCAAAAGTCGCTCTCCGGCGTCGTTATCCGTACATTGCCAAACTGCGTGATAAGGGTGGGGCTTATTTTTCAAAATCTTTCGGGGACACGTTTTCTCATGTGGAAAATGATTACTAGGGCCAAACGAATAACATATCCAAAAATGAGCGTTTTTCGGTAAGATTTAGAGGTGGCGCCAGAGGCCTAAGTCCAATATATCGAACGAAGCTGATTTTCGAACAATTCTAGTGCGTCTTTAAGTAAACACGTGATTTCGTTACCCTGAAGAACAACAATTTTGTCCATTTTTCGATATCTTTAACCATTTTCGAGATATACGGCATAGCAGGTTTGGACTTACACCCACGAATATGGTCTAGCGCAAACAGTTTTCTTGGCAGTGCTAGATACAGTGAGCGTATGAGTACGATACAGATCGAGCGAGAACGCGAGAATGTGAGAAAGAGCGAGATAAGAGAGAGAGAGAATGATTAAATCTCGATGAACATTTCAAATGTTCCTATCCGCTTTGATCGATTCTCTGCATCGAATATCTCTTTTGATAACCACTGCTATGCAAACAGATTTTGCGCTAATTTTACAACATAGTTTGATAAAGGAGATTCTTATCTAGCATCCACAACGTCAAATACAATAGGGAAAGCTTTTACAGCTGAGTTATTAACGGAAGAGAATCGATCAATGCAGATAGGACATTTTGAAATGTTTATCTAGAAATGTGTTCATTATATTTGTGTTAAATTTTATTAATCCATAAAATCCAATTCTCGAATATGATCTCACTATGACGAATACTTATCAAAAATAGTACCTAATTTTCTTCAAGTCAGTTAGGTTTTTCTTGTGGAAGTTAACGTTTACAAGAAGATTCTGGAAACTTTCTTCGTTTTGAGTTACATTACGATTATAATCATGAATTTGCCGGATAACCCTTTCAGCGTGGTCGTTTACGACTTTCAAATGTTCATACCATGAATATAGGCTTCATCCAGGACGATACAGGGACAGTGAGAAAACTGCTGTTCATACCTAGTGTATCAAACAATTTTGCTGTGTTTGCTGTTGCTAAACGTGAAAAAGTTGCATTCAACAACTCTTTGAATGGTACATCCCGCTTTCTCTGTGGTTTCTTACCTCCTGGTTTCAATCGAATCGACAGTGCGAGATTCTGTCGCTCCATGTCGGGAAGACTTTAATCGAATACAGCAAGCCCAACTAGTTCCTCGCTTAGATACCAACCCAAGTAACAAGTTTTATGGAGGTTTTAAAGCATGCTACAAGTCTAAATCATGGTGTACAGAACCCTTATAAAACCGAAATTGTTACTTGGGAAGTGTGCAACAAAAATTTCTTTTGGGCCTTAGGCCTCTGGCGCCACCTCTAAATCTTACCGAAAAACGCTCATTTTTGGATATGTTGTTCGTTTGGCGCTAGTAATCATTTTCCAAATAAGAAAACGTGTCCCCGAAAGAGTTTGAAAAATAAGCCCCACCCTACTGTGTGATCGATGTCTTCGTAACCGTTTCCACACCGACAGATGTTGCTGTCCACGTTGCAGTTCTTCTAGTTTTCTTGAAGTTTCCAGATATTCCCTAACGTTTTCTGAACTTCTATGAAGTTCCTGGAGATAAAATTTTCTGGATTTCTGTTAAGTTTTTTTGAAATTTCATAACTTTCCTGGAGTAATATGAGCTTCGCCAAAATTCCCGGAACGTTCCGAAGCTTCCTACTTTTTTCCTAGAATTAGAACTAAATAATTAATGTAGTTCTTAGATTTTCAATTAAGTTCTCGACATTTTTCTCAAGTTCACGAACTTTCTTTAAATTATCAAACTTATTCTTCAAAATCTTAAAACTTCTTCGAAATTCTAGACTATTTCGTACTTTCCAGATGCTATAAAACTGTTTAAAATATCTCTGAACTTCGTCAAGTTCTTTTGACTTCCCTCAATTTCCCTCTCAGCATTTGTAATAGTCCTCGCAGTTTCCTGTAATTTTCCTGATGTTTTGAAAACTGCTTTGAAACTCGTGGAACTTCCCCTAAAATCTCGTATTATTTTAACAATTTTGGACTTCCCTGAAGTTTTTGGTACTTCTTTGAAGTTGCGTATATTTTTTAATGTTCCGACAATTTTTCTGATATTCATAAAACTTCCTTGAAGACATTACAATGTTTCTGAAGCTTTCAGGACGTTCCTCAAATTCTCGGAATATCTCATAAATTCTCGAAACTCCTTGCAAGTTTGGATGACATTGGGCCAACAAATCAAAAAGTTTAGTTTTCTACCTTACAACATTCGCATTTTAGCCAGGAAAACAATTTTAAACAATAACAACCGAGTTTTTGCTACTATTTATGAAGCTTGAATTTCAAAAATTCTCTAGTCCTCTTTACTTCTCTGATGTTTTCTTGACGTCCCTAATATTCTCTAGACATCCCTTCAGATCTTAAAATTTGTTTCTGGAGCTAATGGAACCATGGCGGTCATTCATTCATTAAGATTTTTTGAACTTCACAAAATGTTCTATAAAAATTCAGAACTTTCCTTATGTTCCCACCATTTGTTCCTGAAACTTTCCTAATATTCTTCGTGAAAATTTCTACAATAACGATCTCAAATTTTTCCTTATATTCCCATGATGTTCCTGGAAAAGCACTGAAATGAATGAAAGCGGCCTTAAAGATTCTCTGGCTTTCCGTGAATTTCTTGGATCTAAGAGTAGAAATTTCTATATGGCGGGTACACTTTGTGAAAACAGAAAATGGAACATGTAACAAAATCATGAAAGATTTTGAACGTTAATAACTCAGCTGCCCCTGGACCAATCTCAATAATTTTATCACCAATCGATCAGAAATATTTCAACGCATCTGTTAAAATTAACATTTAATCAAATTTTAAAATGTCACTATTGAGAATTGTATGAATGTGCAACGGTTGCTATGATAGTTAAAATTATCACCGATTGCCTGTGAAAAACGATTTCCCTAACAAAGATTTCAAAGTTGAATTTCATCCGGTCTCACCAAACGGTGTTTATTGAATCACCGCGTGGTGAGTGGTAGTGTTCTCTACTACACAACGAAACGCTGCCTGAAAGCAGTGAGCTGCAGCCTACATGAGCATCCATCGAAGAAGGAAGAAGCCTCACAGCTATTGATCGGAATCAGTAGCTCTTCGTGAGTCGTTGTGGGCCATCTATGTCAACCGCGTCTATACTAAATAGAATAAACAGAGAGAACCCCGCTCAAATTTCTATTCCTACATGAAACACAAGCTCCTTCTGCAGTTAACAATTAAGATTTATTATATAAGACCCTGTAGTCCTACGTCACCATTGCGTACAACCCCTAAGGGCTTCCTTTTGTAGTTCTTTTTTTCATAATTTACTAAACTTCCCTAAAGTTTGGTAAATTATGATTTTTTCCAAAAATTAATGAAACTGATCTCGAAATGTTTAACTTAAGTTCTCGGAAGGGCCGCTGGCATGTGTT